ATGGGGTTGGGGGGAAGGCGGGGGAGGAATCTATTTATTCTACCTGTGTCCTTTCCTGGGGGTTTGCGCATGTATTTGCTCCCTCCCCACCAGATCTGGCTTTCCCTATTAAACCACAAGCTATCGAGGCCAAGGGCTTGCAGTTCCACCTTTCCCTGGATCCCCCAGGAATAAGGAGGCCGGGCACACAGTAGGGGCACAATCAGTGCTGGGGACCAAGAACCTTGCTAGCCTGGGATGGTGTCTGAGGCCCCTTCCCAGTCTTAGGGAACTCCTTGGACGTCAGCAACCTCTCTCAGTTATACCATTTCCTGACCATTAGCAAAAGCGACCACTTACTCTCTTTCCCCTAAAAATCTCCTGGGGTAGGAAAGCACGGGGACACGCTATCCTGGTAGCTACCCTACCCAGGATGCAGTGAGGGAAGAGGGGAAGCTGGAACAACCTGACAGTCTTGCTGCTCTACTTCTGAAGAACAGAAAGCCTTTCCTTAGGTCCAGAGGCCTGGGTTTAAGAGGTTCTGGCCAGGCCACATGGGGAGGGGGAAGGAAGACAGGGAGGGTGGAGGCGGGACGAGGGCTGCTTCAGTGCCAACATTCTCAGGTGGTGCTAACGTGTTTCCCACAACCCCCCAGGGTTCTATAGCCTCTGCAGGGGCGGATGTTTCCTGCCCTTTGTTTCCACCCTCATCTGGCACTAAGACACTTGGGACTAGGAGGGGAGGCCCAATGGAACATCTTGGCATGGATGTCAGAGGTGGCTTGGCAGGCAGACTGCCAGTCTGGCAGCTTTTCCAGAGGACAAGGATCCCGAACTTGCGCCAAGTGGCTGCTGAGAAGGGGACACTGAAAAGCCAATCACCTCCTAGACCCTCTCTCCCTCCACAGGATAGCCATCAGCTATATTAGCTGTATCAATTATATTAGGAGCCCAGAGCCCAAAGCCCATCCTCAGGCTGACCCACCGCAGAGCTCCAAGAACTAAGACAGTGCCTAGACAGTCCCTTGGAGACAGCCCAGCTGGGCTCTTCTGGCCTGAGGGTGGAAGCAAGCTAGCTGGGTCCTGAGATGCTGACCCTGCACCAGCATCAGTGACCAGACAGTGGTAAGGGCCCAAGTGGCAGGAATCCATAGGCATAAGCCAAGGGCTTGCTCTGGAGGGTTTCCGTCAGGCTGGCCTTAGGGTGACACTGGCCAGAAGAATGCTACCTCGAACCAACAGAATGATCATGAAAAGCTACAAGACAATCAGACCAAAGGCATCTAACCACTTCAAAATCCTCCCAGCCTCCCTGCCAGACCACCCAGCAGCACTGCCGTTATCTGCCAGGGCTGAGTGTTTACCAATAACGGGAACCAGCTTTGCTGTTTTACTGCAAGCTTTATAAGGATAAAAACAAGGGCTGGGCTCATGCAGCCTCGGGTTGCTGGGACACAGGAGTCCATTTGCTCAAGCAGTTTAAGCCATGGATCAGCCATAATAATTCGAACTGCTCTGATTATTAAACAATTTTCCTTGCCCCACGCAGACCCTACTTGCCTGCAGATCCTGCCATACACACATAGCGGGGCTCTCTGGCTGCTTGGCCCCGGGGCCGTGGGGCGTGCGTGGGGAGGGGGCTGCAGCACGTGTGCAGGGCTGCTCTGGCCTGACTCACCGATGAGGGGTACCACCAGGATGTACCTCCTGCTCTCCAGCAGCCGTGCCAGACTGGCCAGGTGGTCAATGAAGCCGTTGGTGTCTGGTACAAGGAACAAGGGTCTGATCTCGAGCTCCATCTGCCTCATCTGACTCTGGTCCTCCAGGACAGCCTACAGGGACACAGAACGGTGAGTGAGCCAGAGTGAGTAGGCAAGCGGGTGGATGAGCCAGGGCCCTGACTTCACAGTGTGTCAGCATCCTGCCCCCTGAAACTCTTCCCCCTCCAGAGGGACAGCCAGCCCCTGCCAGGCCCGAGGGACCCCCCGACCCAAGGGCTGGGCAAAGTACTGCAATAAAAATCAACATGGACTAAATGGCCTGAGGAATGGGGTGTGACTAAAACCCTGCCTAGGACAGAGAGGACCCTGATGGTATTAAAAATAACAGGTTTCTGAAAGTAAGACCCTGGGACAAAAGTCAACAAGGGAGAGTCAGTTTCCTTGGATATGAAAGTGGTTTTGCACACATTATCTAGACAGCAAAGACAGGGGTACGGCTTAGTGCAAACACTTTATACATGTATCATTTATTTCACTTTACTTGACTGTGTAGTTAGATTAAAAAAAAAAGAAAAGGTTACAAGGCTATACAAAAACAGTGATGGTGACAACGAATTATTAACACCACAGCAGCAGGAGTCCATGAGGTGTGATGGATTTGGACCCAACTCACATGCTTGCAAAGAGCAACACCCAGGCTGATGAGAACCGCCACCACCCACCCTCCAGCAGAGTGTTTCCTAAACGTGAGTCTTTGTGTTCTACTTGTGCTCCTTTGCCGCAGTTCTGTACAATCTATACCATCAGTTACTTGATGTTTTTCATTAAATGGACTTTAAGCCAACTCACTTTTTTTGGCTTAGCCACCTCTTAAGCAACGATAACCACGGTATCAAGTTTACTCGTGCAAGCTATCCTTCCATAAAAAAAAAAAAAAAAAAAGCAGCCGAAGTGTCTCCTGTGCATCCCTGAAAAAGCATGCGACACAGCCCCAGTGAGTGGTCTACACACCACACCTTGACAAGCACGTGGCCGAGGCCCTGTCTGTCTGATGGGTGTTCACCTCCTTCAGGGCAGCCCCACGCACATTTGTGAAAGCCTGACTTTCCCAAGTCTGACAGAGCCCTGAGTGCCAGAGGCCCTCTGAGATAGGCTCTGGGCACGTCGGTCACTACAGAACACGGTCGCTGTTGTGCTGCTTCCTCTTGTGGGGACCACAGCCAAGAAGCAGAATGATCTGCTGGCATCTGCCCAGTGTGCTCCCCGTGCACAGGGCAGGAGGAGGGCACCAGCACAAACCTGGCACCCCCCTCATAATCTGCCACACACCAACTTGTAAGGACAGAGACACAGGCTCAGGGCAGGGGAGAAGATGTGCGTGCCAACTGAGATGGGTCCCACAGTGCCGGGCCGGCCACTAACAGTCAGTGAGGGAGGCGCTCCGGTTTCGCTGGCAACGACAGTAAAACTGAAAGGGCATACCTCCGAATGCTGGGGGTGGCTTCCCTGTGACCTACTGGGGACCTCTTCCTATGACTAAGTCGCCGCTGCCACTGCTACCACAGCTGGTGGAAGGCACAGGCCACAGGCCCCTGGCAGGCATGAGAAATGCAGCCGAGAGGCCCATTCTGCGCAGTCTTCCTACTGCTCTCACCTCATCAGGGGAAAGTACCCCTGCTGCTGGCCATCTTCCCGGGGGACTTGGTCACAGTCCCTCCCCGTGGGGCTGCCAGCTACAGAATGACACGCATTCCACTCGGCTTGGGGCATTTTTAAAACAATTTATTTTTTCTTAAAGACATAACTGACATATAACCTTGTTCAGCAGCTCGGGCATTCCGTAAGGACAGGGCCTCTGCCCTTTCTCCTCAGAGGGGAGCAGCAGCCTTCCTCTTGCTCACTCCCCCCAGCCTTGCTGGTCTCTACGCAGCTTTTCCACTGCCAGCAACATTTTTCTTAGTATCATAGGCACCCAAATCTTTGTCTCTCTGGGTGAGAAGGAACACAACAGACAGGGACACAGGCTGCGAGAGGGCAGGGGCTCAGGGTCCTAAGTGAGCACTAGATCTCTGCCTCCGCCCCACTGCGACTCTTCACATCTTAGTTTTCCTGCCTCCAGAAATGATAGCCCAGCTCTGGTTTGACTCTAAAGAGGAAATGGCTGCATGAACAAGAATGAGCTCCTCGGACCTTGGACCATCCCACCTTGAGAGAGGTGGCCAAGGGAGGCTGGGGGCTGATAGCCCGCCTGTGTGTTCTGCGGGCAGGGTGGCGGGGGGGGGAGAAGCACCTAGGAGCAGGGCACAGGGAAGCTCTAACCGTCTGAGTTCTCTGAGCTATGGTTCAGGGCCAGAAAGGTGAACAAAGGCCACAGCCTCTCAGGGAGGTGGCAGCCTCGCTGGTTCCCCAGGGGTGGGGTGGGGTGAAGCTGTATGAGGGTGGTTGGAGCTGTGCTGCCATTATCCGGTCCCAGGGACGCCCGCAGACAACTTCCCTTAACCTGGCTCTGCCTAGTGAGTCACCACACAACTGCTTCCTGTTCCCCACATGCCCTCATGAGTCTCAGGAGATTACATGAAGCTGTTCCCCCTTCTCCTGGGGTACCTGTGGGCCTGGGTGGGGGGGTGTCATACCTGGGTCATGAGACTGGCCCAGTCCCCTTCAAAAGAATGGCAGACCAAGGAGGGATCGGAAGTCCGCAGGCCCTCTTCTGTGGGTGTCTGTGTTTCCGGCCCTCTCTGAGTGGCGCTGTGTGTGTATGTGTGTGTGTGTGCGCGCACACGCGCGTATTTAGCATTTGCCCTCCCAACTTTTCCAGATTTTACCCGTCAGATTCCTGGCAGCTGTGCACGGCGCCTGTGCCGGCCGTCACGTCCCATTCCGATCTCTGGGTCGCACGGTGAGAGAAGGACACAGGATGCGCAGGGAGTGAAAAAGTGATGTCGGTGGGGAGAGTGCCAAGTCCCTACTCACAGCCATGGGACGCTTGCGGAGACGGGGGAAGCAAGCCGCTGTGGAGTTCAGAGGCCGGTAGTGAGATTTATTTTTGTTTGTATGAGTAAAAAGCTGCAGAAGCCTCTGGTGGGGGTAAGGGGGGGGCTCCATTGGAATGCTGTGATTCAGACAGACTGGCCCTGGCCTGGAGTCAAGTGTGCTGACCCGGAAGGAGAGTTCCACAGGAACCCTCCTTGCTGCAGCTAAGACTGGGCCACAGTGGTCCTTGGAGAATGAACTGAGAACCCAAAGAAAGCATGGATGCTTTGAATCAGATCAGTGGGAATAAGGACCAAGTTGTCATCAAGTGTGCAAGGAAAAAAGAACTCAATTCTGTTTCAGGAAGGTGCTAAGTAACCAACTTTCTCTGAAGTATGAGAGCATCCTTGAGCAAGCCGGTGAGAAACTGGGAAGAGATAATCCACAATAACATCTAATGAGGAAGCTGACAGGCTTGGGAGAAGGGCTCTTTCACAGGTTAAGTTCCTTCTAGACAGTGGAGATGATCTGAGGATGCTGACCCACTAAAAATTGAGACACAGAGAATTACAAATAAAAAGTAACACAATTAGGGTGCCTGGGTGGCTCAGATGGTTGAGCGTCTGCCTTCAGCTCAGGTCATGATCCCAGGGTCCTGGGATCGAGTCCCGCATCGGGCTCCTGGCTCAGTGGGGAGCCTGCTTCTCCCTCTCCCTCTGCCTCTCCCCCTGCTCATGCTCTCTCTCTCTCTCTGTATCTCTGTGTCTCAAATGAATAAATAAAATCTTAAAAAAAAAAAAAAAGGTAACACAATTAGCTCACATAGGAGCTGTGGAACTTGAAGAACCCATATCATGAAGCAGAGCCACATCAAGAGAAGGCCTTCTTAGGTCTTCCTTCTGCTCAGGGCTCCACAGGGAGCGGGGCTGCTTCCTCCTCTCTCTTGGCTGATGGAGTCATTTATCCCTGGGCCTCTCTGGCCACAGCCATGTCTTCACCAGAAATGAGAAGTTCTGTACCACAGCAAACTTCTGTGCTCACTCTGTATGGGAAAGTATCTAGGAAAATGCCTGAGCCACATATCAGTAACTTCACAGGTGTCACTTTTCTTTCCTCCTGCCCAGCTCCATGGGTCACCTTCTATAGATGCGGGGGGCGGGGGGAGACTTCTGGGGAAACCACTTGTGGGCAAAGTGGGAGATGGGGAGGGGTGACAGAGAGGACTACTGATTTCTGTAGGACTCATGATACTTACTGTTTTTTTTTTCTTTAATGACATAGGTTTTTGTTTTTTTAAATGAAAAATGGAAATGAAATAAAAAAAATAGGAAGAGTTGGTGAGATAACCACCAAAAGTGCAGACAGGCAGTTCCTTCTCGAGCCACAGAACGCAAAGGGAGCAGATGCTGCACGTGCTACAGAGAGCAGGCAACGCCGTCTGCCGCCCTTGGGACGGCACGGTAGACCTCTGCATTTAGTAGGGTGGGCGCTCATGGGAAACTTTCTGCTTAGGATCCCTCCTCTGGATTTTCAGTCAGTAACACAGACCTTAATGTATGTATACTGGCTTTCTTTTTAAAAGTTACAAGTAGGATGACTTGCTTGCTACTTATCCTTTTATGAGGACTGATTTTATTTTTAAACTAGGCTGTAAGGAGAATGGCCTTCTTTCCTTGTAGTTTCTTTGATAATACCTAGCATAGGGTTTGATATATTGTAGGAGCTCAATGAACTCAAATCACAGAATCTCAGAGTTGGAGGACATTTTCAAGACAATCTGATTGGGACGCCTGGGTGGCTCAGTTGGTTAAGCGTCTGCCTTCAGCTCAGGTCATGATCCCAGGGTCCTGGGATGGAGTCCCACATCGGGGCTCCTTGCTCAGCAGGGAGCCTGCTTCTCCCTCTCCTTCTGCCTTCCGCTCCCCCTGCTTGTGCTCTCTCTCTGACAAATAAAATCTTAAAAAAAAAAAAAAAAGAGGGCGCCTGGGTGGCTCAGTTGGTTAAGCGACTGCCTTCGGCTCAGGTCATGATCCTGGAGTCCCAGGATCAAGTCCCGCATCAGGCTCCCTGCTCAGCAGGGAGTCTGCTTCTCCCTCTGACCCTCCCCTCTCTCATGCTCTCTCTATCTCATTCCTTCTCTCAAATAAATAAATAAAATCTTAAAAAAAAAAAAAAGATAATCTGATTGAATTTTATCTGCTCACTCTTATTGTGAGAATGCCCAAGAAGTGTACCCTTTCCTGATGAAGAGGGAATGGCAGGGCTAGCATGACACCTCCGAGCTTGCTCTAAGCAGTGCTAGCCTTAGGGTGGTCCAGCCAACAGCCTAACCATTCTGTAGGAGGACAGGACCTTGTGGATGCTGCTGGAGCAAACTGGAGGCCCAGCACCATAGTTTGCAGAGAAGCTGGAATGGGCTCTGGAACCGCAAGAGCAGGGCAGGCGGCTGCCCAGCTCTGCAGGCTGATGTGCTTTCCTGCCCCGGCGTGAACGTGCCCCTGGCCTGGTAGTGCACTGGCTCCCACCCTGCCTCCGACAGCTAGGAGCCAGGGCTGAGTGTCTGCCTTCCGCTAGCTTCCATACAGGTGTGGGGGGCTCTGTGTGTGCCCCATTGTTCCACAGCACCACCCTCCCCCAGCTGGGTGGCAGTGTGAATGGGTTGCAGCTATATTTAGAGTGAAACTCCTGGGGCCACCACAAAGGAGTGACTGCATCTTCAGGAGGGTGGGTGGGCGGGAAGGGGACAGGGGAGCCAAGCTATTTTCAGAACACATGTCACTGCTGGCTACAGAGCAAGACTGTGGCCATAATGCCGAGGGAAACAATAGCTGTGGCCAGAGGAAGAGCCTGTTATGTTTCAGGTGGGATGTTTGCAACTGCTCAGGAAACCCGACCCCGCCCGACAGCAGCACAAATCACAGCAAAGCCTCGTGGAGGCAGAGGGAGGTGGGGGATTCACAGGGCCAAGATGAGGTGCCAAGAAGCCACGCCTCATGCCTAGAGGCGGATTTTCAGTGACTGCTTTGCCCGAGGGGCCTGATTAGGACTGAGACACCTCTGACCAATTTCCCAGACAAACCAGGTACCCTGCGCTCTGGTCTCTGGACAGCCCCCAAGAATGGCAATGGGAATGAAAAGGACTCGGTCAGAAAGCATCGAGGTGGGCAGAACCGACCTAATACCAAGAGGTGTCTCAGATAATAGGCAAAGCCTGGGCTGAGCCAGAGAGTGTGGCCTCAAAGCCCCAGGTGGGCGGACTTGGCCCCCCAGTACTCAGGGACTTGCCTGGGTGCCGTGGCTCCAGCTGCACAGGCATGAGAGCTGCCCACACCCCTATTCTGACCTCCATTCGGCCCCACTCACCAGCCCCTGTGCACCGCCGGAAGCAGGGAGGGACAGGCTGCGGACGGAGGCCAGGTCTCGCCTCCCCCAACCCACAGATGAGCTTGGGCCCAGGGGCCTAGGTGGGAGAAGGGAAGTGGGGGTGTGGCCACAGCCCCAGATCTCAGTTGGACTTTATAGTCATCGTGGGGGCCAGGAGGATTTTTTTCAACTCCATCTTCATATCCCCTTCCCCAAACATGTGTGGTTCCTGTTTTGCTGCATCTGTAAAAGGCGCCGGGAGCTGGGGACTTGCCTTACACCTCTCGGTTAACACCCCTGGAGACTGATGGAGTTCAGAGCAGTGTAATTTACAGCCCATCTCTCCAATCTTAATTCACCCGATGCTCCTCTCTTCCTTATTGTATTAGTGTGACCCAGGTACCTGCCAACAATAATGGCCTCTCCAGCTAGGAGCCTCTCCCCCACTCCCAGGACAATTTATACCTTTTCCTTGGGATTTTCCCCCCTTAAATTAAACAAAAAGAGGAAAAATAAGAAAAGGTTAACATGGGTTTGGAGTGCTGCAGCCCCGTGGTTCTGGGCAGGGAGCCAATGGCCCGAGGGCACACACATGTGTGTGCTCTCCCAGAAGGGCCTTCACCGGCCCTGTTTTACAGCCACCTCGGCACAGACTCCAGGGTTCACGCATATGGCCAGACAGATGTGTCTGGCTTACGTTCAAGGCTGGAAAATGAAGAATTATGGAAGTGAAGGGCCCCGGGCATTAAAGGGGGGGGGGAAGGAAGGGGGGAATTTTTCCTCTGCTGAGAAATCCTCCTGTGGCTGTGAGGCTGGAGGAAGAAGGCTGACAGGAGGCAGGGCCGCCAGCAGTGGTACATGTGGGGCCTGTTCTTAAAGGGGCCACAGCAACCTCAAGCCCCAGCTGGCCTGAGCAGCCAGCTCTGAAGGAGGTGACAGGGACAACAAGCTTCCCGAGCAGGGGCGGCCACCGGCACCGGACATCAAGTCTCATACAAGACCTCCTGGTTGCAAGGTACTGCTTGCTGCTGGAGAGGCGAAGCTGAGCACGGTGCTCTCGACAAGGCCATGCCCCCATGGCACTCGCTCCCACGGCATCCTGTACTCCCCTGTGGCAACCATGCACGCTCGCACCTCAAATCGCTGGCTCATCCATTCACTGTACACTTTGTACATCCTGGCCTGGGACTTCTTTGGTTCACTCCTGTGGCCCCTGACCACCAGCCTCGCAGATGCTCATCACCACTTATTAAACTGAACTGAAGACACGGTACTTGCTTCTAAGGAGTTCACAGTACCGGCGGGGGGTGGGGGTGGGGGCGGAGGCGGGGAACAAGTCCAGAAATAACTGTAATATGAGACAAGATATAAGTATCACAAATGAAGTATAAATCAGTGCCACGGGAACACTGAGCAAAGAGAGATGAATTCCTCCTGAGGGTATCAGGGAAGGCTTCACTGGGGAGAGAAGTTTCATCTGAGGATTTGAAGGAAGAATAGAGTTTCAACAGGTAACAGGAAACGTGGAACAGAAAAAGGGTATCCTGGTCTGAGGGAACAGCATGAACCGAGACCTGAGAGTGGGGAAGGGTAGAGCACGTCAGAGGGCAGTGAGAGGAGAGGACAGTTAGAGTTGCCGTCCAGGTAGAAGGGCCTTACTGTCTGGACAAACACTGTACACACACTTCCTGAGGTAGGTGCTGTCACCACTTTCATTTTATAGATGAGGAAACAGTTTTAGAGGAGTTAAATAATTTGCCCAATGTCATATAGCTAGTAAGGTTCACTGGGGATAGGAGAAGAGGCTGGAAAAAGACTGGGAACAGATGGGAAAACCTCCAATGCCATGGTAAGGAATTAGACTTTATCAGCGAAGCAAAGACCCTGACGATTTCCGAGCAGGGGAGTGGCTCTTCTGGGAAGAGAGTGATAAAAGCACTCGAGGTGCACCAGAGGGGCTGAGGTGGACAGGGTCCCGGTGTCACGCGACTCCAGGAGCTGCCATTCACAGACTACCAAGTGAACAGCGCCCCTGGCGTTGTGCAGTGCACGGGCCTCGCCCGCTACAATCCAAGGCGGTACGTGGACCAGCACGGCAGTGGTGGCAACGGGAACAAGTGAGAAGGAAATAAATGAGTGAACAGAGAGGGTCTGATAAGAAATCAGACACATGGGGTTAAAAGCCAGCGAGGAATTTTAAAAGGATTCTCTAGTTGCTACTGTCTATTCAGTCA